CGTGCACTCAAGCCCACTCGATTGGCACGTTCCTAACAGTATATTTGAACTCAAACCCTTGAGTCGAAAATTTTATCATGTCCACCACATTTACCAAACCCACAGAGACCGATCCCGAACAAAGGCAGCCCACCCATCCAAACATGTTTTCCATGGAAGACATTCCGGCCTCTGCCTCAAAGGAACAATCAGGCCTGTTCGGATCAGCCTCCAGTGGGGGACAACCCTCCCGTAGGGAAACCTACAATCACTCTAGCTTCACTGCTCGCTAACCTAATTATGATGATTCCCCTAACCCCTTCGACGCCACCAGCATCCCAACCAATGGGGCCCGATGGGCCAGCCTGATGTATGGTGCCTGAACTGACCCCCCAATAGACCCCTTATCCCTGGGCAACAACCATGGGAATCCAGACAGCCCAGACTCAGAGGGCAGAGATGAAGACACCTCTACTCATACTCCCATCTGACGGGAACTGGCTGGCAATCCACCAAACTCTTTCCCAGGTGGACCAGGGGGACCAAAGGGACCAGGAGGACCAGGTGGTCCCAATGGCTCAGGCAGTGCCAATGGCCCCACAGGAAGTAACAATCCAAACCAGCAGGACATGTTCCTAGAATTCATGAACCTGTTACGAGGAGTCTCCGCCTCCCTCAACAACCCTAAACCAGCCACTGTCTGTACCAAGGTCAAGGAACCAGAACCATTTGATGGCTCTGACTCTCACAAACTGAAGGCTTTCATTGTCTCCCTTCAGTTGAACTTCAATGACAGACCTACCGCGTTTGCAACAGATGCTAACAAAGTTAACTATGCCATTTCATTCCTGGCCGGCACCGTGCTCAACTGGTTCGAACCAGACATTCTTAACCTCAATCCACGGAATCCACCAGCCTGGCAATTCTCCTATGCAGCCTTCTTAGATGAGCTTCGTAGCAACTTCGGCCTTTTTGATGCTATCGGAGATGCTGAAGATGCATTAGAACACCTTCGGATGCGCGATGGTGATCGGATCATAAAGTATATGGTCCAATTCAACCAGTACACTTCACAAATTGGGTACAGAGATAACTCCCTCTGCCATGCCTTTTACCGTGGCCTCTGCACCCATATCAAGGATGACATGGCACACCATGGGAAGCCAAACAACCTTCGTGATATGCGCTTCCTTGCCCAAGAACTTGATGCTCGCTACTGGACCCAGAAGACCAAAATTGCCCATGAAAACTGGAACAATAAATTCCCCAACCCCAAATCCAAGAGGTCTAACACTTCTTCCTCGGACTCCAGCTCCACACTGAAATCTACTGCCCCTAAGCCCTATGCCGACAAGCTAGGCAAAGATGGCCGTCTCACCCAGGAAGAAAAAGACCACCGGCGCCAGAACAACCTTTGCATGTTCTGTGGAGCCAAACACAAGACTGAGGACTGCAACAAGCGGAAGGCAGCAGCCTCCACCAAGGGGCATGCAGCAGAGGTCGACACCGCTCCCGTGGAACCGGCTCCGACAGAGTCAGAAAACTAGGAAGCAACCCTGTTCCCTCCGTGCGAGTTCAGGGTTGCGTCGACTGTATTCGCACACCGGAGGTCATCACTCTCAATGCAACATCCCTTTCCAATCACTCCTTTCACATTCCCCTCTCAGCAGAATTGCCGACTGCTATGGAACCCAATGGTTCTCCAACTTGTATCATTCTGTGTTTTCTTGCCCTTATTGATTCTGGCTCTAGCCACTGCTTTGTTGACACTAAGTATGTAGCTGCCAATGAAATTCCCATTAAAACCATCCCTAGTGTGCAACTTCGATTATTTGATAGCTCCATCAGAAGCCATATATCTCAAATCACAACCATCCCCATCTGTTTCCTGTCCAGAGACACCTTCCCTATTGACTTTTATGTCACTCCTCTGGATTCGTCTTGCAATCTTGTCCTAGGATACAACTGGCTCTCCCACTACAATCCACTGATTGACTGGGCTGAGAACCGTATCATTTTTCGTTCAAGCTACCAGAACCCCACTCCAACCAATTCCGCAGCCTCCACCGCATCCCAGGGACTTCTGTGCCCACCGGACTCTATCAGTCCAACTTCCGGGGCTTCACTCCATTCCAAGTCCACATCGGGTAGCCAGTGGACTTCATTCCCGTATGAACCCATCTATTCCTATCCTCCCTCAGAATCTTTTACTATGAAAGCACACCCAAAGATCTCCATCATATCCACTGCTGCATTCATCTGAGCCAGTGCAGAAGAAGGCGCCCAGCAGTTCACACTGCAGCCTTCTTTGCCTAATATTAGAGCCAAAGCTGCATCCACGGAACCAGCAGATCTTTCATCAGTGCCAGTAGAGTACCATGATTTTGCAGATGTCTTCAGCGATACCCTCTTTGAAAAACTACCTGAACACAGACCATACAACCTCAAAATCAACTTTGAGGAAGGAACATCTCTACTGCTTGGCCCCATTTATTCTCTCTCAGAATCTGAACTCAAAGCCCTATGAGAGTTTATTGATGATAATCTGCATAATGGGTTCATTACTCCGTCCTGCTCTCCACACGGGGCTCCAGTTCTATTCGTCAAGAAAAAGACCGGTGAACTCCGACTTTGTGTCGACTACCGTGGCCTAAACAAAATCTCCAAAAAAGATCGCTACCCTCTTCCCCTCATTTCTGACCTCCTCGACTCTGCCTGCTCTGCACGCATCTACACCAAGCTCAACCTTCGGCATGCCTACCATCTCGTTCGCATAGCTAAGGGGAACGAATGGAAAACAGCCTTCTGGACCTGTTATGGTTCCTTTGAATGGCACGTCATGCCCTTTAGCCTCACAAATGCTCCAGTGGCATTCCAACGATTTGTGAATGATATATTCTCAGACATGCTCGACATATCAGTAGTAGTCTACCTCGACGACATCCTCATATATTCTGACAACCCGGAAGATCACCAGAAACATGTTCGTGAGGTCCTATGCAGGCTTAGAGCTAATGGACTCTACTGCAAAGGTTCCAAATGCGAATTCAACCGGGACTCTGTGGAGTACCTAGGCTACATCCTATCACCTGAAGGACTTCGCATGTCTGAAGAAAAAGTCAAGGCGATTGTTGACTGGCCAGTACCACGAAAAGTCAAGGACATCCAATCCTTCCTCGGCTTTGCCAACTTCTACCATCGCTTCATACACGGATATAGCGACATCGTCATCCCCCTTACATGACTCACCCGCAAGGGAACTCCATGGAAATTTGACGACAAATGCTTGGCTGCCTTCAATGAATTGAAACAAGCCTTTACATATGCTCCCATCCTTACTCACTGGGTTCCCGATCAAAAAATAGTGGTGGAAACGGATGCCTCCGATTACGCCATTGCAGCTATCCTCTCCATCTACCTTGAAGATGGCGAAATTCACCTGATTGCATTCCGCTCCCGGAGCCTCCACAATGCTGAACTCAACTATGACACCCATGACAAGGAGCTCCTGGCCATTTTCAAAGCTTTTAAACATTGGCAGCACTACCTTGAAGGCTCCGTGGACTCCATCGATGTTGTAACAGACCACAAAAACCTTGAATACTTTGCCACCACTAAAATTCTAACCCGCCGACAAGTCCGCTGGTCTGAATACCTATCCCAGTTCAATCTAGTAATTCGTTTCTGCCCCGGAAAACTTGGTGGAAAACCGAATGCACTCACTAGACGATGGGACGTCTACTCTAAAGAGGGGGATAGCCAATATGCCCAAGTCAACCCCCACAATTTCCAACACTATGTTAAGTCCTGCACAGTTTGTGGGCGCAATAAGGCACCTAGACACCACCCCTATGGGTTACTCAAACCTCTGCCAGTTCCCGAACGGCCATGGGATTCCATTTCCATGGACTTCATTGAACAACTACCAGACTCCAATGGATTTACTGCTATCTTAGTAGTCATAGACCAAGCTAGCAAGCAAGCCATCTTCATTCCCACT